TGTGAGTGGTGGTGGCAGCGGCGGCAGGGGTGGTCACGGCAGCAACGGTCGCGGTGGCAGCGGTGGCAGAGTGGAGGCGGCAGCCGACGGTGGAAACACGAGGGAAACACGTCGCCTGGAGTTCACCCTGGACGCCGAGAAATCACGACGATATCAAGAATGCAGATCAGCCGCTCTAGTCGAAAAGCGGTTGCGAACGGACGTTAAGCAGTGAGCGTCGAAGGAGAAAAATCCTATCCCATGTGGTAGACTCATGTGGTCGCACGTTGTTGGTAATCCTGGCATCGGCCGAGAGGATCTGTATGAATACACATATTGTTGAGCCAGAAATTCTCTGGGAACCGAGCCCGGAAAATGCGAGCTTCTCGTCAACAACTCGTGCTCTTGACGCGCGCGCATTGACGTGACGAGCGAGCGTCGAGCAGCAAGGTTGCGCTTGAAAAGGCATAATCGGAACACGGCTTGAGCCCCAAAAGGATCCCAAGGAAAAAATCGCACCATTCCCTTTGGATGTCCGAAGTGGTTCAAAACAGCACACGAAGCCCCCAAGACAGCCCAAGAGAGCCCCCAAGCGGCTCCAAGAAGGAGTCCGGAGGGCATGAGCGCGTTTCTTTATGTTTTGCGATGACGGGCGTCATGAGGGGGGGGAGGGCGGGGGGGGGTATGACGTGACCCCCCCCCCGCCGTGCGGCTCCGGCACCACAGCCGCGCCCGCGCGCACGACGCGACGAGCGACGAGCGACGAGCGACGACGACGACGCGAGCAGCATGTAAATGGCGATCTGCCCGTTGCGCCTGTGTACACCACAACGCTCGCGTGCACCACAACGCTCGCGTGCACCACAGCGCCTGCGTACACCGCAACAGCCGTGTGCAACCCACCGCCCGTGTATACCACAATAGTTGGGAGCACTACAGCGCTGGTGTACATACACCGCGGCAGCCATGTGCAACACAACGCCTGTGTACACCATTGTGCTTGCGTGCACCGCAGCGCCTGTGCACGCCACAGCGCCTGTCTACACCACAGCATCCGCGTGCAACGCAGCGCTGGTGTACACCAAAGTGCCTGCGTGCATAGGACAGGTGGAAGGAGCATGTACGTCAGGGTTTGCTACGGACAACTCAACGCCACGCCAGGAAAGTTTTGCTAATCGAATGCGACGTTTTTCCCTCCTCCGTCCTCCTCCACCTCCTCCTCCTCCTCCTCCTCCTCCTCCTCCTCCTCCTCCGTCCTCCTCCCTCCTCGTCCTCCTCCTCCTCCTCCTCCTCCTCCTCCTCCTCCTCCTCCTCCTCCTCCTCCTCCTCCTCCTCCCCCTCCTCCTCCTCCTCTCCTCCTCCTCCTCCTCCTCCTCCTCCTCCTCCTCCTCCTCCTCCTCCTCCTCCTTTTCCTCCTTTTCCTCCTTTTCCTCCTTCTTACCCCCTGTCGTGCGGTTTGGCGTTACAACGCACGTGCGCATCTCAGCGTGCACCGCAGAATGGTCGATTGAATCGGTCCACTTGGTTGTCGGACGGCCAGTTTAGCTGGAGCCTCCTGGACGCAAATGGGAATTAGGGTGGTACGGGCGAACTCGGGGGGACTCGTAGATTCCAGCGGCGTTCCTTCGTCCATGAAGATTTGTTTTCCATTGTTTCTGGAATCCACACGTGCTTCATTTTGTCACAAGGATTCGTTCGGAAATTCTACACACAACAGTGGTGTTGTGTTGCACACAGCTGGTGTGGTGCACACACGCGCCGTGGCGTACACAGGCACTGCAATGCACGCAGGCATTGTGGTGTACATGGTGCTGTGTTGCGCACGGCTGATGTGGTGTACGGAGGAGCTGTGGTGTACACAGAAGCTGCTGTGCCCGCAGGCACGGCGGCACAAACTGACGCTGTGTTGCACGTGGTTGCTGTGGTGTACGTCGGCGGTGTGGTGTACACAGGCGCTGCGGTGCACGCGGGCACTGTGATGTACACAGGCGTTGTGGTGCAGATCGCCATCTAATTACATGTTCGTGCTACCCGTCCTCCGTCATTCCTAAACATTCCCAGACGCCGCCGGCGCGAAACGTGACGTCATCGACCCCCTCCCCCCCCGATGATTGCCGTCATCGGCCCGGAGTTAAAAACAGGCTCCAGCCGCGCCCGCGCGCACGACGACGATGAGCGACGAGCGACGAACCACGAGCGACGACGACGGACGACGACGACGACGACGACGACGACGACGACGACGACGATGACGACGACGACGACGCCTGCGGACCAGACACCTATGCGGATTCCTACGCGGACACCCACGCGGATCCCAATGCGCACGGCGGCAGTGCCCGAAGCGCACTGGGGAGGGGGGAGCATTACGTCAATGGGGGGGGGGAGCGGAGGCCATGACGCCCGTCATGCCCCAAACAATAAAGTAACGGGCTCCATCTTGTCAAGCCTCCGGCCCCAAGACGCCCCCAGCCTGCCGCGATAAGACCCCTAGAGGCCCTCAGGGACCCCCGACAGAACGTCGAAGGCTTCACAGAAGCACCCAGGAAGCCCCCAAGACCCCCAAAACTGCCTGCAAAACGACCCCGTCAGGCGTCCCACGAGATCACATCAACCATCCGTATGGCCGCACACCCGCAACCCAAGCACGGTGGCGGGACACACCACCTGCCATTCGAGAACTACTCGTCCAGTTTTTGGACCGACGCCTGCCGTCTATGAGCGCGGGTGTTCGCATGTATTTCCCCATGCACGGCGAACACTTCGAAAATCAGCCACGGACACTACACTCACCTAGTAAGTATCTATCCAGCATCTGACATTGCCCCCGCCTCCAGACCGCCCCGAAGAGACTCCACGAAGCACCCCTGAGATTCTGACCCCCTACCAAGCCGGTTTGGACCGACGGCCATGACAAACTGCACGGCCCAGACACCTGCAGAAGGTCTCGAGATCCAGGGCGACACACATGCTGTCCGAAGTGCCGGACATCCTCCCGAAAGGCCACCAGAGACTGGAGTACAGGCCCCCAAACCAGCTCGTCACTCCTCCTTTTCCTCCTCTTCCGTTGACCCTCCTCCGCCTCCCCCGTCCCCCCCTGCCTCCTCCTCCTCTTCCGATGTCTCCTTCTCGGTTTTCCTCCTTCATCGGTTTCGTCTTCCCTCTCGTTCTCGCCCCCCTTGGTCCAACTTCTACGGATCGTGACACGGGCGCTCGCATGGGTACAATTTGCACGCCTTGCATTTCAGGGTGCCCTTTTTGTCGTCGCGCGCGACATTGCTTCTGTCCACGGGGAAGGCCGAGTTCGGCAATTTCTTCTGGCACTTGCCGCTGCACTGATAGCCCTGCCAGCTGTCGTGTCTCCACGACGTGGGCGCGTTAGAATGCCAAGTGCTGCTCTGTAGCGCGTTCTAATTCGGACCCCCCCCGCCCTGCCTCTGCTACCAGATTCGCCCATGCATGCCCCCGCGCTCCCGAGGCCACGATCCCTCGCTGGAAATTTTGCGCGCCCGCGTCCCGAGTTTCCAAGACAGCCCGGGCAGGCAACCAAGGCAACCAAGATAGCCCAAGATGCCTCGAGGCAGCCAGGCACGGCCTGCAGAGCACCTAGAGGTACGATAACAGCAACGAAGCAACAGAAACGAGATCGAGCGCCGCGTCATGATTCGGACAAGCCTCGTGAAATGCAGTCCTGGAGGCGCTGTAGTTCATGCAAGGGTCGGAGGACGCGGCGCAAGCCTATCGAAACGATATTTCTATTCGCGGCGGGCCTGCGTTTTACACCGCTATGTCTGGGCCAGACAGCAGGCGGTTTGCCGCCTCCGTCAGCGCGGCGCGGGGTTCGGGGGCTGGGGGCCTCGCAAGAGCATGGCGGGCGCGCTGTTCCATTGTCTTCGGGGCCAGGGCCTGCTTCTGTTTTTTGCTCGGTCGCGGGCCGATGCCATTTTACCAACTGCAACTTCTTTGCCGGTTATGATTCCACCCTCTCACGTTTCCAACCTCCTTGCATTGCAATGCCAGCCCGCAGGGGCAAGTTCCCCCCTGGGGACCTCGAGCCTGGGGACCACGCGCGCCGCCCAGCGATGTGGAAATCGCGATGCGCCAAACTCGGCATCGAGCTCCCCGAATGCTCGAAGGACCAGAAAGTGACGTTCCTGTTCGCAGGGATCGGATGGCCAGACCGAGCGATCCTCGAAGCCGAGTGGCCGGCGCAGCCTGTCAACGTCGCGGAGAAGCGGCCCAGCGCCTGCCATGCGCTCAGGCGCCTTCCAGGCCACGCGGCGTGGCCCACGGCCATCAGGAAGTGCCCCATCGCAGATGCTCGACTCCAGCGGTAACTCCACTGGGACAGCTCCATGCACCACCTCCTCCAAGGCCGGCAGCCAGGGGAACTTCTTTGCCTGCGACGGGGGCCTCTTCGTCAGGCAGCTCGCGGCGGCCACGGAGCTGGCGGCAAGGCGGAACGGGTCGGCCGCCGAAGCGCGCACTCCTGGAGAACGCGCGGCACACCGTGGGTCTCGACTGCAAGGTGGGAAAGCGCGCGAGACTTCGCGGGTGAGTGGTGGGCGACGAGCATGCCTGGATGGACGGACCTTCTACCACGGCAAGTAAATGCGGGGGGGTGCTTTCTACCTCATCACAGGGGGCGCTGCTTCGCCGTGGCCTTCCGGGGCGACTGCTGCGACGTCGTTGGCGACATGTCGGAGGACTTCAAGACCGCGGGGAACGACGAGGTGAAGCTCGGGGAGATGCTCTACACCACCGACGACAAGCAGACGCACGCCACCAGGGACCCCACGGAGACGCAGAAGATCAACGTCGAAGACTTCAACGCCGAGCTCGACCATAAGGCTGCGAACGGCAAGGTCGTCGCGCCCGCGGATGCAACGATGCACTTCGTCTTCGATGCTTCCCGCAAGGGCCTAGGCTGTGGGCGAAAAAGTATCCACGCGCACGGCGCGCCTACGTTGACGACAGCGAATCGCTGCCTCCACATTCTGCGCAGGCGCCCCGACGCGCCCAAGGTGCCGGAGCGCGGTCGCCTCCTTGACATCACGGAGCGGGCAGCCGTGCGCGGCGCGAAGTGGCCCAGCGCGGACAGAGTCTGCAGCAGGAACCAGCACGCCATCCACTTTGGCAACATGGTGCCCGTCGACACGGCTGGAGCGGTCCTCGCGCAGCTCATCATGGGAAGTGGGGCGGCCCCATCTTCGAGCGCATCGGGGTGTCCACGGCGCTCGGGCGCATTAAGCAGGACAAGGACGAGCGCATCAAGAGGCGCACCTAGAAGTGGAGGACGGGGGCTCTGACGGCCAGCAAGAAGCCGCGAGCGGAGGCATCTCCCAGCGCTTCCAGCGAACGCGGCAGGAGCGCAGCTTCTCTGTGCGAGTGCACGCGCAAACCATATTTAAGATATTGTAGTGGCCTTCGGCCAGTGCCGCCGATCCGGGTCGCTCGGGGTTATTCTCCAGACGCAGAAATTATGGGCGCACACTCAAACGCACACACACAGTCACACCACTTAACCTGCGCCGCAGACATGCGCACACAGCATCACCCACACACACATACTAGTTGGGAAACGCTCCTGTAGTACTAGTAGTAGTATTAGTAGTAGTAGTAGTAGTAGTAGTAGTAGCAGTAGTAGTAGTAGTAGTAGTAGTAGTAGTGGTAGTAGTAGTAGTAGTAGTGGTTGTGGTAGTAGTGGTAGTAGTAGTAGAGGCCTCGTTCCGCGGCTTCTCTCGACTTCCCGCGGTCTCTCTCAAGTTTCGAGCACGCGGTGAGTTTCACGATATATGTGTGTGTATGTACGCGTGCATGCATGTATGCATGCATTGATCATGTGTGCCTGTGTGTAGGTACGTATGTATGTATGTATGCTTGTGCGCGTATGTATGTATTTAGTTTGTATGTATGTTTGTATGTGTGTATGATAATATGTGTGTATGTGTGTGAATGTAAGTATGTATGTCTGGAAGATTGTTTTTCTATGTATGCAAATGTGTTTAAATGTAGGTATGTATGCATGTGTGTATGGATGTGCGTTTGAAGAGCGAGGATGTTTCAAAGAAGAGGCACTCGGTGACGCGATCGTTGAGGGATAGGAGTGAGGTCGCAGAGGAGGAGGAGGAGAATGAGGAAGAGGCGATAACTTGAAGGAAAACGATGAGACGGAGGACATCCTGCCGGTGGCGCCCTGGGCGGTGCCGCGGAAGAAACCGGGGGCCTGCCGGAGGCAGTCTGGAGGCCTCTGGGGAGCTGTTTTGGGGCCTCTTGGAACCTCTTTTGGGCCTCTTGTGGGCTTCTTGGGGCCCCTTGGGGGTCTCTTGGGGCCTCCTGGGGGCCTCTTGGGGCGGAAAGCTCGGTTCTTTCGGTTCGTGGTCCCCCTCTTGGGCCCCTCTTGGGGCTCTCTTGGGGCCTTCTTGGGCTGTCCAGAGGCCCTCTTGGGCCGTCTTGGGGCCCTCTTGGGCCGTCTTGGGGCTCTCTTGGGCCGTGTTGGAAGCATCGTGGGCCGTCTTGGGACGGACTTGGGGGCCTCTTGGGCCGTCTTCGAGCGTCGGACGCCCGAAAAGGCAAGAACGCTAAAAACCCTGAGAAAACCAATGAAAATCAACGATTCTGGCCTCTTGGGGCCCTCTTGGGAGGCCTCTTGGAAGCTTCTTGGGGCGTCTTGGAGACACCTTGGGCCGTCTGGAGGCCATCTCGGGCGTCTTGGAGCGATTTTTCGGCGACTCGGGGCCCTCTTGGAACCCCTTGGGGGTCTCTTGGGCCCCCCCCCTCCTCCAAAGCGCCGGAAAAAGCGGAGCATGGCGCCCCCCCCCCCCCTATCTTCCACTCCCCCGGAGCGGCCCCGGGGTTCGCCGGAAACTCGCACCCCCCCCCCCCCCCCCACCCCCCCTTCCCCGGCAGAGCCACCCCGGCGACCCCCTGCGAGTGCACGCGCAAACCATATTTAAGATATTAAGATAGTGCGCCCTGCAGCGCGTCATCCCAGCAGGGGCCGCAGCAGTATCGTCACTCCTTCTTCTCTCCTCCTCTTCCAATCTCTCCCCAAGTCCCAAGCCTCTGCGCTCAGCGCGCCTTCGCCCCGTTGGGGAGGGGTACCAGACGGACGACATGAGAGGGCCCTGAGAGATCTTCAAGAGCCACGCGAGGGTCCTGAGAGAACTTCAGGAAGGCCCCGTGGAGGCCCCGCGAGAACATAAGGAAGGCCCCACAAGCCCTTTTGGCTTAAGTTATGTGGCTCGAAACTGGGCTGTAAGACCTTTTCTGTTAAGCTCCACCCTCATCAAGGAGGCCCCACGAAAGACCAGAGCGGGCCATCTTGGACCCTTGTTGTGCCGTTTTGGGGCTGTCTTGGACTGCCTGGAAGCCCTTTCGGATAGTTGTGGGGCGATCTTGCATCCTCCCAGGCGGCTTCAGACGCCCAAAGGACCGCCGTCTTGGAGCGTCGGGAAGCCGAAAAGAGGATAACCCCAAAATTTACCAAAAATCAATGGAAAATCACAGATTTTTGCCTCTTGGGTCCTTCTTGGGAATGCTCTTGGAAGCCTCTTGGAACGTTTCGGAGCGATCTTTGGGGGAATGACGGCTTCGTGGGCGTCGTCGTGGACCGTATTGGGGCTCTCTGGGGTCGTTTCGGGAGCGCGCCGGAACGCCTGGAACCCGTCTGGGGCCGTCTTTGGGTGCTGGGAAGGCTTGGCGAAACGCCCTGCGAGGCCCGGGGGGCCGCTTCGAGGCCCGTCCGGAGGGTCCCAAAGCCCCAGATCCCGGGAGTCCGGTTTTAGGGGGGGAAGGGGGGGACGGGTTTTCCCCCCGCCCGGGCATATAGAAATATAGGAAGAGGAATACACGCATACTGGAACCACGCGCGAGGCTCCCGCGCTCGTTCGTGTTCTTGTCTCTTCCGAGGGGCCGCCAAAGAAACGCAAGGGGAACCCTGGCACTTGGGACTTCTGAGGCTCCTCCGGGGCTCTCTTGGAGCTGTCTGGAGCGAGCATGTGAGCGATGAAAATAAAAACAAGTCTTACGCAAGACGACACAGCGACCTTACACTGCGGTTTACGCCAGCTGCCAGCGCGGCACGCTACATTGGAGACGAGGGCGCTTACGCGCGAGCTTACGCGGGCAGCTCACGCGCGAGTGTCGGCGAAGGCAAGCCCCCTGTTCTGCGTCGCGCACGTGAGAAGTTCAAAACGAATACCCCCAAGCCTCATGGAGACCCACGGGCCCTCGGGGGGTGCACTCTGATACAGGGGGCGGTTATTGGTGAGGGCTGTCTTCGGGCTCGCCAAGGGGGCGTCTTGGAGGCTTGGGGAGGCTCGTGGGCTCTGGGACGCGTTGCTGGGCCTCTGCGGGCATTCTTCGGACCTCTTGGGCCGTCTCCACCCGTCTTGCGGACTCTTTGCGGGCCCGGGCGAAAGGAGGGAATAGCGAAGGGGGGGGTGGAGAATCAGTTCACGTAGCTGATTTTCCCGGCGCCTCCCGGCGCCGGAGGCGGCCATGTATCGAGAGATGGGCCCGGCGGCGGGGCCAAAACCAGCTGCACGCAGCAGATTTCGTAACCCCCCCTTTCCCCATCCCCCCCTTTCGCTCGGCCCGATCTTGGGCCGTCCTGGGGCTCTGGGCCCCTTCCGCAGGCTCGGGGCGGCAGGAGGGCAAGTTGCTCGAACGCTCGGCCAGAGCTCGCGCAAAGAAAAGCCAAGGGGATCTGGGGCCCCCCCGCTGCCACTGCGCACCAAACCGGCCGCCAGGCAACACCAGAAGGAAAGCGGCTGGTGGTCTGGCACGACGTGGCGAGGACCGAAAGACTCGTCCTCCGTGAGAGCTAGGGCGGACGCAAGGAGAGGCAGCGGAGGGAGGTCAGCGAAGGATCTGCATGAGGCGGGTCATCCCGACGCGGGGCGGCCATGCATCGAGAGGTGCCTGGCGGCATCGAGAGGTGCCTGGCGGCGGGGGTCGAGACCAGCTGAATACCGAGCAGGCTCCGTAGCACCCCCCCCTTGCCAAGTTGGAGGCCTCCCACATGGGGTCCGAGCAGATGTCGTCGGAGGATTGCGCCGCATGGTCGAGGCATCGCCGATCGGCGCCATCGGCTTGGAGCGAGCCGGGCTCCACACCTGGCCGCCTGGGCGCTTCACCGGCGATGCGGCGCGATCCTCTGGCACCACCTACTCGGGCCCTGTTTCGCGAGGCCTGGCCGAAGAGGACGGAGGGAAGAAAACGGGGACCATGACCAGGACTGAACGCGGAAACGTCGTGCCGATCTTAGTCACCGTCCCTCTTGGTCAGCGTCAATTCGTGAACCATCCTCGCTAATCGGCGACGGCCGACATGGACCACATCCAAGATTGGCATCGACCAGACCACGTGACATCTCCAACATCTCCCCTCGAGACGAGGCCTTGCCCCCGCCCGACCTCGTTCCGCAGCTCAGCGGAGAAGCGGATCTGCTCGCGGACCTCGGGCGTTGAGCGGAGACCGACCGTCCCGGCATTCCTATAGGCCTACCACTATCATTGAACCCAATATGTTCTAAGAACAAAAACCGTGTTCTTCGAGCATAAAGGATATGCTCTGAGAGCGTTTCGTGCAGACCACCAAAGGATCTTAGAACATTCTGTAGTGGGCCTATAGGCAAGCCAAGACGCTTCGCCACTGCTCGACGGGCGGCCCCCCGCGAGGCCCCGCGCCGGGAGGGATCGGCAGCCGGTGCCGAGCGGGCGAGCTGCCCGCCAGGAGGGGCGGAACGGCGGGGGTGGGGGCCTCGCCCCGTGTGGGAGCTCTGCAGCGGTTTGGGGGGCAATGCGGCACCACCGCCACGCATCCCACCACCCCTCCTCCTCCTTCCCCTCCCCCTCCTCCTCTTCCTCCTCCTCCTACTCCTCCACCACCATCTCCACCTCCTCCTTCTCCTCCTCCTCCTGCTTCCCCTCCGCCTCCTCCTCCTCCTCCTCCTCCAACTCCTCTCCACCCCCGCCTCCGACTCCGCCTGCTCCTCCGCCTCCGCCTCCGCCTCCTC